ACTTAAAGGGACACTGTCAATGGATGACATGCGCGAGTAAACTTGAAAACACTAGGCTAGTGTTTTCAAGTTTATGACTCCAAGTTGGCGCGACATAAATCAGATCGTAAACGTAAACAGATCTAGAATATTCCAAAGTGTGTCAAAAGCACCACAAAATGATTTACCTCGAAGGTTATACTTTCAAAGTCCGTTAGAGGTGAGACTGTTACTGCGCATGTCATCCATTGACAGTGTCCCTATAAAGTACGATAAAACAAATACCTCTTTGACTTTATCAGTAAACGTTGTACCAAAGTCGACTTCTGATACTCCAGGTGGAAATAAAGACGAAACTTCCTTAGAGGTGCTGACAGATGAATACCGCTCTAATCTATCTTTTGGAAGATACTCTTGCTTTGCTCTCATCTATCAAAACAAACAAAAGAGACAAATGACCACTGTGCAAGCTCCAATGACCGAGCCTATTAACACCCTATGATTTTCCGTGCGATTCCAGAGACTTTTGCGATCACTCGGCACAAAAGCTGACTGCGCGCTATTGGTAAATGTAGTGAACTTTATGACCCTCGAAATATTCTATGACATTCCAGGCCTGGAAAACTACGATATGAAATTCCAGGTTATCCAGAACAAGTCACAGGCAACCCAAGCAGAGCATTTGAACTTTATAGTGAATATATGGCATTCAAATTTTTTTAATAAAATACATTTTAACTTAATCTCATGTGTTGTTGATGTTATTTAACATTGCTGTGTGTGGTTTTGAAGGGATTTAGAGCTATTTTTAAAAAAAAATCGTCATCAGTCATAAAAGACTACAAGGCTGGTTACAGAGCTCCTACAACACTCGTCTTTGATGGCCGAAACAAAATATCTTAAATCCATCTTTTGCCTCCCAAATCCCCTCAGCGGCATGTCTCTAGGATCCTTCTATCCAGAATTGGGCAATATTTCAACGGACTTCAAATCCAACCGTGCTAAATCGTCATATTTGTACGCTATTCTGACTCAATTTTTGAATCCGCTCAAGCCTTCATCGACCTTGTTGGACACGGACTTTGACCGTTTTGCAAAACTCCCTCTGATTGGACGACAGTTACCATGGAATCAGTTCAAGTACTTTCGACTACTACGGGCAGTGTAGGCAATTGTACAACTGTCTACATCCCCAAAGGGCCTGCCAAGCCCGAGGCCGAACCTACATAGCTCAGGGAAAACTCGTTCGCGCGCTTTTTCGAAGTTTTCAANTTAAAGGGACACTGTCAATGGATGACATGCGCGAGTAAACTTGAAAACACTAGGCTAGTGTTTTCAAGTTTATGACTCCAAGTTGGCGCGACATAAATCAGATCGTAAACGTAAACAGATCTAGAATATTCCAAAGTGTGTCAAAAGCACCACAAAATGATTTACCTCGAAGGTTATACTTTCAAAGTCCGTTAGAGGTGAGACTGTTACTGCGCATGTCATCCATTGACAGTGTCCCTATAAAGTACGATAAAACAAATACCTCTTTGACTTTATCAGTAAACGTTGTACCAAAGTCGACTTCTGATACTCCAGGTGGAAATAAAGACGAAACTTCCTTAGAGGTGCTGACAGATGAATACCGCTCTAATCTATCTTTTGGAAGATACTCTTGCTTTGCTCTCATCTATCAAAACAAACAAAAGAGACAAATGACCACTGTGCAAGTTCCAATGACCGAGCCTATTAACACCCTATGATTCTCCGTGCGATTCCAAAGACTTTTGCGATCACTCGGCGCAAAAGCTGACTGCGCGCTATTGGTAAATGCAGTGAACTTTATGACCCTCGAAATATTCTATGATATTCCAGGCCTGGAAAACTACGATATGAAATTCCAGGTTATCATCCAGGACAAGTCAAAGGCAACCCAAGCAGAGCATTTGAACTTTATAGTGAATATATGGGATTCAATTTTTTTTTTAATAAAATACATTTTAACTTAATCTCATGTGTTGTTGATGTTATTTAGCATTGCTGTGTGTGGTTTTGAAGGAATTTAGAGCTATTTTTTTAAAAAAAATCGCCATCAGTCATAAAAGACTACAAGGCTGGTTACAGAGCTCCCACAACACTCGTCTTTGATGGCCGGAAAAAAATTATCTTAAATCCATCTTTTGCCTCCCAAATCCCCTCAGCGGCATGTCTCTAGGATCCTTCTATCCAGAATTGGGCAATCTTTCAACGGATTTCAAATCCAACCGTGCTAAATCGTCATATTTGTACGCTATTCTGACTCAATTTTTGAATCCGCTCAAGCCTTCATCGACCTTGTTGGACACGGACTTTGACCGTTTTGCAAAACTCCCTCTGATTGGACGACAGTTACCATGGAATCAGTTCAAGTACTTTCGACTACTACGGGCAGTGTAGGCAATTGTACAACTGTCTACATCCCCAAAGGGCCTGCCAAGCCCGAGGCCGAACCTACATAGCTCAGGGAAAACTCGTTCGCGCGCTTTTTCGAAGTTTTCAACCGAAGCCGCAGTTGCGCTGCCAGGTTTATTTTCAAGAGCGATGCAAAGGCAAAGCCTTTCAAGCGTTATCAAATTCCTACAATCCCCGTACAAACATGACGATTTGGCACGGTTGGATTTGAAATCCGTTGAAAGATTGCCTAATTCTGGATAGAAGGATCCTAGAGACATGCCGCTGAGGGGATTTGGGAGGCAAAAGATGTATAAGATATTTTTTTCGGCCATCAAAGACGAGTGTTGTGGGAGCTCTGTAACCAGCCTTGTAGTCTTTTATGACTGATGGCGATATTTTCATTAAAAATAGCTCTAAATCCCTTCAAAACATTGTTTGGCGTTTACCATTGGTCTTGGTAGTTGTTCTTCTCTTCTTGCATCTGATAGACGAACAAACACCGACGATCCTTCAAGGTATTTCATCTGAAAGACAAGAAATAGATAATATACCAAATCGACTAAAGGCTGATTTACACGGCACGATTGTTTCGTGCGATTTGTAGTATACGACTTGAATCGCGCAGTGCAAATGCCCCTACGACTTGTCTACAACAGTCGTACGCAACCTACGACTTGTAGTAGGTTTTTGAACCACTGCTTAAAATCCTACGACTTGTAGTAGGAAAATCGTATACTACAAGTCGYGCGCGACAAATCGTACCGTGTAAATCAGCCTTAACGATATAAACGTTTCCACCCAATTCAAACAAGCGGAAGTAAGTTTCATTGTTCGTTGTATTTTCATTTCACAGTTTAATTCTTATCTTATAGAAACAAAAGTTTTTTTTCCCACATGATTTCATGGATTTTAACGTACAAGGGAACGCGTTAGCCGATTAGGTCTATTGACAGAGAAACGTCACATGGAAGGACTGACGGGCAACATGGAATGATGGATGAACGGTTGGACAGACGGATGAATATGCAATGTGCAGAGATGCCACTTTCTAAATCAATACATGATGCGAAATATAGCGCTTGTACTATTCAATGTCGGGCGAAAAAATATAAATGCCATATTCGATCCATAAATGCCATACAGTAAAAACCCGCGTATAAGAACAAGTGGATTAAGAACACCTAGGCATGATTTTAGGAAATAAAGTACCATTTATATAAAAACACAATCAGCCTGAAAAATGAAAGTTGTTATTATATGGAAACATATCAAAGATCAACAATACTTTTCATTGCACAGATTGATTTATCAATTTCTTTTTCAAATCAAAATAGTTGCACCATTGTATTGATTAATTAAAATTGTGGGCATACACCTAATTACACAAACGTTGTCCAAGAAAAAAGGACTTTTACTATTTAGAAATTAATTAAAGTACAAAAGAAAGTGTTCGGCTTCWGTGGTCATGTTTTGTCTTTTAATRTATTCCTAATTYCCTAAATCYCTAAATCTCAGGACAACGTTTTCGTAATTAGGTGTATATCTATTGATTTCATCTGTTGGTAGCCAAGTATGTTCCATATTCTAAGAAACGTTTTTTGAGAACACTTTTAAGAAACTTAGAGGCTGATTTTGCAGTACTTTGGTACTTACAGTTTTCTTTCGACGGAAAGCAGCAATAACGTCAAGGCAGCTATCTTGTCGCAKCTCATTCAAAATTGGCTACAGAAGAAAACGAGAAAACGATAGGAAGGAATGGGAAGGAAGGGATGGATGGATGGACGAGAAGAAAGGATGAATAAAAAATACAGAGAGTATGCACGAAATTGYCAGGAAGAAAAGATCTAAGAAATGACAAGAAGTGGATCACATAAACAAGGCGAAAGGGAATGAAAGGGAATAAAAAAAACAACAACAATGTGTAGAGCTCTTGAGAATCGTCCAAAAAAACACATACATTCTCTCTTATTTTTGCAAATTAAAAAAAAAATACTCGGTGAGTATTCACTCTGGATAGGCTTAAACTTGAACATTGCACTAATTGTAGTATGGTCTTTCATGTGGTGAGGTTCAGTTTTCGATAAGTGGCATATTTTCTCTCGTTTTCAATTTCGGAAAGGCCAAGTACACAAGTTCATCATTCTTCATCATTTCGAAATACCTGAGTTGGTTCTCCTTGATATAATGGAAGCTGATAGCTGCCGTTCATGACATAACCCTCATGGAAGACAGGTAGCACYGTCCATGCCTAGTTAACAAAAGATATCTATTTTCAGCGTTTTCGAAACAAATACCACACCTTATCTCATTCCAATGTCATCGTAAAGTTTTTTTTTTAAATAGATTTCGTACAACTGTAGAACGAAACCGATCATGGCATGGACAAAACACAGCGCGGTCAAGGAACCTTGCTTGTTTTAACACATCATCATGGAAGCCTCATCCGAKCTTCGCGTCGGGARGTCCAGTCCCTTTGATTCGTTGTGTATGCGGAGAGCTCGGCTGAGGTGGTAATCTTCGTGTCTAMMTTCAGGGYATCTATAAAGTTGGTGGGTKGCAGATCTCACAGCCTGAGAAGGACCCCACTGAACAATGGAATATTGACTCCGTGTAAAACAATATATTGAGAAATAATATTGACTGCAGTATGGCGAGGTTATGTAGAGTAATAATACTGCATAGTGCATTCCAAAACCGCAATGCATTGTTGCACAGTTGACAATTGTGAACTTAAAAAAGGCCTAAAATAGGCCTTTTGCATGAAACGGTCACATGGTACAAAATCCGCCATACTGGATGGCAAAAGAATGTAAACAACGTCAAAAACAAAAGGAAGGCAGTATGTCAAGCTTGACTTTTCTTAGTTGTTTTGAACATCTCAGTGGGTATTTTGCCATCTAGTATGGCGGATTTTGTACCATGTCAGTGACCGTTTCATGCAAAAGGCCTATTTTGCTCTCCAATGAAGTTCCTGACTGTATGGAACTGGTATAGTAACGAATGAAAACATGGAAACTACTTTTGAACGGAGACAGAACAGCTAACCATACATTGCGGTCTTGTAATACACTACCTTTAGTATTAAACTTTTCTAAAACAGTCGAAATTTTCTTTTATCTTTGTTGCAACTTACCTGTCCTTTTAGACCGTACTTYTCGACACTTCCCGTAAAATCCACCACTACTTCTCGCAGATGGATGACAACATTCAGATATCGATGATGCAAGCGCCTTGGAAAACTCTGCATAAGAWAATAGAAACTGTGCGTTTTTCACTATTTCTCGGTTTCACGTTACGGCACAGCCGCCATATTGGATAAAAATAACGAAGCCTTCCTCATAATTCTTACTTTAAATCCATCGAGCCATACAGGAGAACTGACTTCACTTGTAAAATCAATACTGGTGGAGAATTCTAAAGGGTCTGCTTGGTGGCCCTGTGTGTGCAAAAAAAAATAAAAGAATAAATCAAGATTATCCATTGTTTCTTCGGAAACTCGTCTGCAATAGTCCACTTCGCGGATAACACAGCTAATACAAATTGAACAAATATCGAAAAACTACTACCGCCACTGGAAAGAACAGTATAAAATTAGTATGTTTACCAGGTTTGAGCATGATTCGATGAAAATTCAAGGAGATACAGCGTTTAAACGAGGTCCAAAATTTACAAAGAAATGTATGGGCNTGGTGCGGCGGCACACGTGTGGCTGAGAATCAATCTGAAGGCACCTTGTTAGAGAAATGACGTTCCATTAGTAAATCCTTGTCGCTTTAAAAAACACTTTAAAGCCAAATTAACTTGCTAGCTAGTTTCTTTTTAGTTTCTTTTCAAGTAATCTCTAGACAGTTCGCAAAGTAATTACAAGTACAAGCAAATAAAGTCACTCAAAGGCTCAAACATCTTCTTGGTCTTATCTCATTATCAATACTTCAAAGGTTAAGTACCGCCGCTAATTAAAATGYAAAAAGTAGCGTACAGTAATTTCTTTTACATGGTAAGTTATCGTTCGTAGTTCGTTCTGAGCTATTTTGCACTTCAAGTCTGAGAGCAACTAAGCGGCTCACACAAAGCCAAATTTTCACGACATGAACTTCAAGTCTTTACAAAAATACCGTTTTGACAAGCGGTTATTTTGTTTGACCTTTATCATGTTCAAAGATAATTGAATCCAATTTAAGCCAACAATCAGGACACTTTTTGACATGAAAGCAAACAGCCTTTTAGAATAGTGGTCAATTGTTTTGATTTGAACGCAATGATCATATCTCAGTACACGTGGTTTGGAAGACATCGAAAGGTGCATAAAACGAAAGTTAATAGTAAAGAGACCGTGTGTTCAATATGATTTTACTTCGTGCACAAGAACATTAGATTAATAGATATCAAGGTGCCTTCAACAATTTTGGTATTTCAGTGATAAACTAATTATGTCATTGCTTTGTACCTTGAGTGACAGACTTCAGGCTTTCAAGTTTTACTATTGGGTATAAGAAATCACGTGCGTCACCTAGCTATATGACGAAAAATGATACCCAATTCAAAATTTTTCACTTGGCGCCAATTTTCGGATCCGTTCGTTCTAGGCACTAAACGTTTGTTAAACATATTCAAAGTTTTGTAAAATGGCGAAGTTTGGACTTGTTTTATTCTATTTAGATTCTAAGGTTGTAGTTGTTAAAAAATCGATATGCGTTCTTCGCAAACAATTCGAATCTGGAAATGATGTAGAAGTTAAAAGTGGCAAAGAAATATTCTTAGCAAGGATCTTGCGGACTAACGGTAAGTCTGATTAGCGGATTAATACTTTTTCTAATTAGTAAACTAAGTTTGATCAATCGAATACCTTAAACATGGATTTCTCATGTAGTTTTCTTGTTTCTCAATGATTTTCAGCTTGCGAGCAGCCCTTAAGTGAATTGTGTGCAAAATCTTGCAGGCTGATAGACGAGGCAGGTAAGTTGATTGGTATATTAAGAAATCAAAATTCAAACTTTAAATAAAATTCAACTTATTAGGAGAAAAAAGTGCCGAGCAGTTGATTGAAATTTTGGACAAGTCCCTTGACCGTGACCAAAGCTCAACCCCAGAATCCATGGCAAAGTCTAAGCATGGCAGGGCAAGGAAGAAGATCGATTACAATCAGTTGTTAGGTAGGACTCTCAAGATCTATTAAAATAATCGAATAATTGGTGATTTAATTKCATTTGCCATTGATAACTTTTTAGATATCTCTGAGGAGCCGAATGAGCAGGGAAAAGAAAACGAGAATGCTAAAAAACATGCTGATGCAAAGAAAGAAAAGAAGAAAAAYAAAAAAACATGCGATGAAGTCAACAAAAATACTGAAGATGTAGTTGATGTCGACTCACAAGCAGAGCATTTAGAGGTACTGTTAAAACAATTTCGGCTGTCTTTTGATAACATAATCATAATGGAAAAGGCATTGTTGACTTCTATCACTGAGCAAGTAAAGCAGTCACTCTTACTTGATGTCAGTGACATTTGAATCATTAAGTTACTAATAAGATTTTGTTGTCTGGCTAGTCCAACATCCTAAGCATTTCAAGTTTGAAATAAATTGTCATTTTGAAAGAGCTCGCTAAGGCTTGTCATGAGCACAGTGAATAAGTCTTTTAACGTGTCTCGTGTGCGCAAAAGAACCGACTTTTAAAAGCTTAATTATAATACGTCGATAAAAATGTCAGTCATTTTGAAAGAGCTCGCTAACGCTTGTTATGAGCACAGTGAATAAGTCTTTTAGATACATTTTGTATTTAAAGACTAATCACATTTATCTTAAAATGCATCTTGTTTTCATGAAGCGAGTGAACTGAGTGCAACACTAAATACAAATGAAATACTATTGTCTTATTAATTACTCGGATTTTTGGCGCGCAACAATTCCCGCGCTTTTTCATTGACTTGGCTTTGTACTGATATGTTTTGGGAATCAACTTATTCAGAATTGAAATAGGATTAGTAGCACTAATCGAATCCTTGGAAAAATTCAGTTTTAGTAGTTTTGTAACTAATGCACAAATTAAATCAAAATCTTGCAGGACATTGATGATATGGGTGTGGAGACAGAACAATCATCGAAGCGTAAGATTAAAGCTTCGAAATCCAAAGCAGAAGGTAAGTTAATGGTGCTGCTGAAAATATAAATTACTAATGATTATAAATAAGTTTGATAATAGGTCACTTCACTTTGCTGTTAATTCTAATCATGAAAATTTTAAATTAGAAAGATTAACTGCCGACAGATCGTTAGGCTTATAGGACTTTCAAGGTCTAATAATCAAATTATTGGTGATTTAATTGCATTTGCCATTGATAAATTCTTAGATATCTCTGAAGAGCAGAAAGTGGAAAAAGAAGATATTCAAAAACATGCTGCTAAATCAAGTGTAAAAAAAGATAAAAAAAAGAAAGACAAAAAAACATGTGGTGATGCCCCMAAAAATAMATCGGAGGAGGTYGAGGAGATATTTGATTTGAGTGTGGAGCCAGGGAAATCTTTAAAACATAAAATAAAAGCTTCAAGATCCAAACCAGAAGGTAATGGGTAATGGTGCTGTTGAAAATATAGATGTACTTAAGTATTCAAGTTTTATATCCRTCACTAATTAAGTCTTGTTTACTGTTGCATTTTTAATATTAATTAGAATGTTTTCCCAAAGATCACAAGAAAACAAAGTCCTCTCATGGAAATGAAGCAGGTAATTTTACACTACTAAATAGCACCTTTTTTTGTAACAAAAAGGTTTTAAAGCTATATTGATAATAATTTTTAATAAGACTTTAATTGAATTTTTAGACAACAGAAAAAACAGCAATAAAGAAAAGGAGGTTGAACAGCCAAAAAAAACAGCAAGCAATACAAAACACCAATTTCAATCAGAAGGTACAATATTGTTAAGTAGAGCTGATAAGTCAAGTTCTGTTCTCTAAAAGATGTTGAATTCATAGAATAGTCAATTGCTGGTAGA